TTTTTCTTCATTACCCATTCAAGCCATCTCCAGCCATTATTAGTCTCAAAGTGAGTTCCTCGTCATCGAAAAGGAAAGCAAGATATACAACATTTGTTAACATTGGGCAACATCATTAGTGTGAATCTGATATGTTGGCATGGTGATGGGATATATATTTAACTTCAGCAGTGATGAAAAAGCAGTCTGGTTACATTCAACTGTAGAAATAACTTGTGTATCCAAAAAGTTTCTTTTGTTCTTAAATTTTTTTCACTAACAGCATTTCCCAGAATACTATAATCTTACTAGGAAGAATATCACAGTTTTAGCAAAGGATGTATGTTGACTTTTTAGTCCTGTTGGCAAGTTGAAATAATATATTAAGTAAATATTACTTGCTTTTATTTGCATGATAGAGGAGGTTTTAGCTCCAATGAAAGCATAGTATTTAGAAAAAGACTTTATCAAGTGTTATTAAACTGAAGTTGAGAAAAATTTAAGTGTTGTTTGGACACTGTAAATGATGAATTTGTTAGTGTTTTTCTCAGTAACATCTGGTCATTTAGAATTTTTTAACGGGTTGTTTCAAAGGTTCTTGTCTTGCTTGAATAAATGTTTTTTCAATAGCTCATGTGTTATAAGAAAAACAATAACACATCAGCATAATAATTATGCACAAAAGATTAAAGAAGTACAAAACATAAAAAAATCTGACAGTTTTTGACAGGCTAAACTTCTCTTTTTGATTAATCTATAGAATTAAAACCATGTTGTAATTCTGGTTTTTTAGTAACTTGTCTCTATGAATTATTGTTACTGATTCAGAGCTAATTCGATGTCTATTTGGAATTTAACTCTTTGAACTGTACTCAGTTGTTCTAATCACACTGAGAAAATCTAAAAAGATTTAGATCTCAGATAGTGTAAAATGGCTTCTATAATGGTCAAAATTAACTTTCTTAGGGGCACCCCAGATCCTCCTACAGTACAAGATTCCAGTGAAAAATTGAAACAACATTATTTCTCAAACTGGGGTCCACAGACCTCCAGGGATGTAAAAGGAAACTCCCAGGGGAGGGGAGAGTGATGTCCAAAATCTTATAAAAAATATTTAAAATGTGATTTACAAAAAAATCATAAAATTAGACTTATATGAATTAAAACATTTAATTTTTCATATACAACTTTTTCATTTGCACCATCTTTTTTTCAAAACAAAAAAACATTGATAAGTTTGAGGGTCAATGAAAGAATTTTAACTTAAAAGGGGTCCTCGGGTTGCTTAGGTTTGTTTATTCTTCCATGTTTTATAGCCATCTTTTCCCCTCACTTTATGTGAAAAACTGATGTGATTATTTACAGGTATTATAGTTCCAATAAGGAAAAACCTTGTCCAACTGGCATCATCTAAATGTATTTCCTGTGCCTGAGTTTCTAATTAAATTGACAAGCATTAGTTACATTTTTACTGGAACAACAGAGTTTTATGTTTTATACTTTCTACTTTTTCAGTGATTCTGTTCTTTCTTTGAACAGAATTGATTGTATTCCAACCAGAAAAAAATCAGTTCATACACCTAAAGGCTCGACAGAAATGATAGTTTCCACATTTTCTAAAGTTTGATTTGTAAAATAAATAAGATAAGCATTATATAATGCCAAAATATGAAATTTACAATGTTCTGAAGTAACAAAATTATTGAAACACAATTATATTTTTTCTAGTCCCTCCCATTGAGTCAGTGGAAAGCTTATTGCTAAAATCTAGGGTTTGATTCCTCATGGTGGACAGAGTACAGATGGACCATTGTCTAGTGTTACACTAAAAAAACTACATCATCATATTTTTAAATTAAATTTTGAAAGTTACAAATGTACACTTCGGGTACCCTGAGTCCCCTTCGGACCATTGGGAGTTAAAATGCAATCATTTTAAACTGTGTTAGGGCTTGTGTCTGACATTATCTAGTTAATGAATTTTTAATGCACAAGTCACAGTGGAATGTTTAAACCATAATCTAAAATGTATTGATCATGGTTTTCATATGTGGTAGGTGGCTATGGCAACAGGACAGGTGTTATTTCAACGATTTTATTATTCAAAGTCTTTTGTGAAGCATGGAATGGAGGTATGTGTCATTTTCATATCTTTTATAGATTAAATCTTGTTTGTAGAAAAGTCTGTTGAAGATACATTTAAAGATATTGTATCACTATTGTTAAGTTTATCATTGCTATCTTTTACTTTGTTATGACTAAGTTATTGGGTAACATTTATGATTATATTATATGAAATACTGACACATTATTTTAAAATTAAAAGATTACTCATTATTTAAACTTAAAGCAAACATTTTTTATTTCAGTAAGGTATATTACCTCTGCTTACATAAGTAGCTATTCTCGTTCAGTGCTGCTCTCTATATGCAAAAAAGTTTTGCATTCCAGTTCGTCACATCCTAGCCACTCTACATCTTGGGGCACACCCTTTATCCTCTCATCTACATAACTGTCATTTATGGAATTGAGATTCTGATATTGGGTGGTTCAGATCCATATCCAACTATTGTTTCTCCATTTTGGATGTGCTCCTCCCTTTTTCCTCCCATGTCTACTCACTTCTTTCCATACTGGACATAGAGCATACCTGGTACAGAAGTGGTTTAATCTCCCACGTATGATACTCTACTGTGAGGATCCCCCCTTTTAGGCTGTTCTTCGGATGCTTTTGAAGGATGCTTGTTTCTTTCCCTAGCACCGATCCCTCCACTTATTCAGTGTGGGATTCTAGTTATTTATGTGAGAAGAGGTAATGTACATTATCAGAAGTTATAGTTTTCCTATACTGAAAATGTATTTCTGATAGGTACTTACCTCCTTTCACACTTCCCACCCTTCCTCCCCACTGAAAGTCGTCATTTCATTTTTCTGCAAAAACTCAAAGTGATAGTTTTGTACAATCAGATAGGTGGAGTCAAATGCATCAGGAAGGTGTGTCACACTCCTGTTAGTGGGATGTTGTCGCATGATGATTTGCATGTGAGATGCAGTTGAACCACATTAATCATGGGGTAAGTGGGAGTTCAAGGCTTGTGGCATGCAAAAACATTTCTTGTGTTTATAGGACAGCACTGAATGAGAATAGCTATTTATGTGAAAAGAGGTAAGTACTTATCAGAAAAACATTTTCAGTATATGAAAATTATACATATAGTACCAAGTGCTGCCTTTTTTTTAGGAGGTTTTTATTTTGTCATAGTCTTGAGATGAAAATTATGAAATTATAGGTTTTATAATACAGAAAATATATTGTAAGGTGAGATCTGTTTAGATGTGCACTCTTAAAAAGTTTTGTGTAGTTTCTCGTATTTAATTATAGGATGAGGCACTGTTAATGTAACCAAGTGTCCTGTTTTATTGATGTCATTTTATATTGAATTGAATGGTACTGTAACTAAGGTAACTATATTGGAATTTCTCCATTTCTTTGACTAAGTACTTTTGTTCCTCAGAGAACATAACTTTCTTAGACCAAGGTACGCTAATTCATACACCTGGTGCATGATTTGTTAAATTGTGCTATAGAAAAACCAAACGAAATAGCTTGAAATTTCAGATTTACTTTCTACAGGTTATGTTGCATATAAAAATAAAATATCTTAACCTGATGATGACCTAAGAAGGTCAAAATGTTACTTGTTTTGTGTTTTTAAATTAGAATTTTTAATACCAGCCGTCTCTTTTATAGATATATAATTTTATATTTGATTTTTGTATTAATTTGCATCTTTGAAATTTCAAAGATTTCAGTGTGATAACATTTTTTAAAACAATTTAAAGTGCTTACCATGTTGTAGATTTTTATTGCTTGATTTAATTTTTTTCCTACATCATTTGAAAACATTCATATAAAGTTTTTTATTCTATAAAACTAAATTTTGTCTATAATGTGTTTAAACAAAAAAAAGTCACACAGCTTTGCAGTTTCGTCGTGTTTGAAATAACGTTTTTATCATGTCAGTATTAAGAAGAACTTGAAGTATTAACCAGAATGTTTTATTTAATATATTTAATAAGTTTGAAACCTCTCACTAGGTAGATCAAAGTGGCCACGTCACTTCTCTGTACAGTTACATTCAAAATTTAACTAAACTACATTATTGTCAATGTATATAAATAAACATGGTATCAAAATTTAGTTAAGAATAGCAGTTAATAAATCATATTTTAATATTGTATAAGTTTTCATTTTTTACGTTTAAAAGAAATTACTGAAATTATTCTCAAGCTCCCCTTGTATGTGTATCATGACATTTGTTGCTCCAATTTGAAAGTCCTCAATTTTTTCATTCTCCCCTCTGATGTGCTGCGTTTAATGTAAATTACTCGTTATAGTATATAGACATTATTTAATCATAATCTAGGTCTTGTAGCCTTCTCTTTTCTTTGTTTATGGAGATATAAACTAGAAAGTCATATCCACTTGACACTCCACCCCTGTCACATCTTCACAAATTGCCAATAGTTCTCTCTGAAATTTGCTATTAAATAATTTAGAACCAATAGAAAGACAAAGTTTTAATTTACTGAGTGATGTATAATCTTCTACATTTTTTTTGTGATTTTTCTTTGCATATTCAAGCAGTGCTTTAGGTCAATATGATGAAATGTAAACAAGGCTAAAGAAAGTTGGATATAGTTGGATGCAAAATAACTTAATACTGTGCATGCAGGTGGAGAAACTTTGATGGAATTTGTAATCACAGTGTAACTACGAATCTGTACACACTATAACTTTGAATGTAATAAGTGTATTTCATGAATTTTGGAAGTTTTTTAGTAAATATTACAATACTGTTTGTTATACACCAAAAATTTGATTTTTATTAATAAAGTAATTTTCTAAGGATTTATATGTGAATTTAAGAAGCTGAGTAACTCTCAGTGAAAGCTGATTTCCATTCTAAGAATAAAAAATATTTCTTTTTTCATTTTAGTTTTCATATTTCATTTGCATAACCTCTAGAATATCAAAAGTTTTTTTGGTAAAACTATATCTTATTTTCTCTACCCAACATTAACTGTAAAAAAAATAATCTTTACCAAAAATTGAAAAATATGAAATAGTCTAAAATGCACGTTGTTTTGTAGAATGATTGAGACCATGACAGACAGGTACAATTATTTATCCTAAACAGTTTCACGTATCATATCTACTTCTATCTCATTTTATTGTTTTATTTCTCTTTGAACTGTGCCTAACATAACAAAACAATAACTCACCTGGCCAGAGTTTAAGGCAAGTTATGGTAAACAAACTATGGAGTTATATTAGCATAACGTCATTATTTAATTTCTGTAGTGACTGCATGCAGCCTGTGTTCATTCGTTGAGGAGAAACTGTTTTTTTTCATTTCATATCCAACCTAATAAGTTGGATTTTTACATTTTAGTTACTTTTGTAACAATATATAAAGAATATACATAAAAACCAAGAATATATAGCACTTACTTTAGCCTTGAGGTCTTTTGCACTCTGGTGTATAATTTATTAACTCTCTCAACATGGGCTCGGTCAATTTGACCGACAATGTGGCCTATTTGTACTAGTTTAAAGTCTTTATAGATTCAATACTTTTAACTTTCAGTCCTTTAGTTAATATTACAAGTCTTTCACATACAAAAAATCATATTTTTTAGTGAAGTATTATTAAATAAAGATTTGTCCATTAATATATTGAGTATTTGTTTTGAATAGTCCGTGTGCAAAGTAATTTTCATGTTAAAAATACTTTTCTTCATCTCAAAAGTCTCAAATTTCCTTTGTGTAATCACTAAAACTTTATTGCTTATTTGTTATTTTCTCTACCCTATCTCAACACAGGATTGGTCAAATTGACAGACCTTGTAACCACCGGGAAAAAAAAATTAAATAAACCTAAATTACCCTTTTTTTGCTAGAATGACTTCAGATTGTAACATGAAACTACATTCGTTTGTTCCAAGTAGCTCTAAGTTTATTCAATTAATATTTAAATTTTATTGTTTTATTGCCCTTTAAACCATGTATAACTACTATCCACACCATTATAAGTTATAAATCACTCGAACATGCAGCTCACATTATGCTAATGAATTACACTACCCACTAGCTGCTCGCGTGTGTGCCTTGTGAAACATTTTTATTATAATATTATTATTTATTTTACCTAATCTAATCATAACAAACCTAAAAGGATCCCTATTTTTACATTTTAGTTACTTCTATAGTTATACGTAAAGAACAAACATGAAAAACAAGAAATAAAATAAACCAATCTTCTTTTCCTCTTGCTATTGGATTTTTGAAGACAGTTATCCCTAATTTTTTTATAATATAGGTAGTATTCACTTAATAATTTTTATTTAATTCGGTAATGCATCAAAAAATATAGACTAATAACATGCAAAAAGTAGACAAATTCACTTACATCTCAAAATTTTCTTGGCTTTCTAACTATACGATAAGAGCCGTTACAAATTCATCCAAACTAGTCGTTAACTTTCCCATGAGAACAATGTTGGTACTCTAAACTGATATCTAACTGTTCAGAACAATACGTCATTTGATAGATGAAAACCTTGACTTTCTATTGGTTATAGGTAATATATAATGAAACATAAGAGAGAACTATTAACAAATTGTGAAAGAGAGGGTGTGGCAGGAGGGGTCTGATTTTCTATTTGATAGCTGTGTAACCAAACAAAGTTGAAGGCTATAAAAATTATGGTTTTCCTGAGCAATAAGATTTTATAGAGTAATTTACTCTTTCAAGGGGTGGTGGATAAATTAGGGATGATGACATGCAAAGAGAAAATGTGACATGTGGATCACACTAGTGGAAATTCAAGATTTTTTATAATATTGCCTCGTAGTATTAAGAACTTAAAACTTTTATACTATTAAAATATGGATTATTAGCTAAAATATTATAATATTCTAGTTGGTATAACATAAACAAAAGGTAGTTTAATAAAATCTTTAATATAAGACATTAAAACCTTGTGTCATGCGCAGTAAAGGATACCTGTGTCAATAGGGCTAAGCCTATTTTTCCGTATGTTATTTGTTTAAAAATAATTCCTGTATATTCATTTCAAAACACTAGCAAGTGCTAGAGTAGAAACAACTATAATTTATCTGGTTTTCTAACTAAGATATAAATAGGTTAAAAATCTTACTGTTTAGAGCAACATCTGTAGTCTCAACACATCAAATATGATTAAAATATGAACATAACTCAGTAAAAAGGCTGTGATGTGTGTGTTTAAACCCTCCCATGTCCATAGGGTTAACTAAGCCTATCTCATCCTTCACATTTCAGTATCATGATTTAAATGCAGTATAAAAAAGATGAGGACCATCTAGCAACATATCAAGCTAAGAATTTACAACTTTGTTCCAACCTCTACTTAAATCACAATTAAAATGGAAGCATTGTTGCTTTTACCATTGAAATAACTGGAAAAAGAGTTTTGTTTGAAGAGTATGACTTCTCAAAGTTGAAATATAGGCAGTTACACTACTTCATGACAGCTGAGGTTCGGATGTATAAAACTACACTTGTATTCAATTTACATAGATATGTTATCACTATTTGTTTAAAACTACTAGGGAGGCTACAAGCACTATATTATGATGCTCAGAAAAAATAACTTGGAAATTCAGAAGTTATGAAAAACAAATTGATGTATAAAATCAAATAAATCTTTTTACTGAATAAATTTCGGCATTGAAAGTTTTTTTAACGTGTGGTAAAATGACTACAAGTTTATTTTCTGTAATGTTTTTAATTCAGTTTTGCACCTGGGGCATCAGGGTTAAGGAACAAACTAAAAGGTATCACTGTAAGAATTTTCTAAGCACTATTTTGTATAATAACTGATGGATCTCTATGAATTGAGTATATTTTTGTTCTGTCCAACTATTGAGTTATTAAATCTATGAAACTGTCAGTGATGTACACAAAATATTATTTGGTTTTTATGTTCTCAGATAAATTACAGTGCCATGACCTGTGTTTACTGTAACATCAGGTCTGTTGCTTTGCATTATAAAACACATGAAATAATATTATTTCAGTACAGAACAGTTCAATTTAAAAAAAAAAGTATTTTTAGGCTTACTAACTAATTATGTTATAAATAGTTTTCTCTTTATACTGTGAAATTAGTGAGATATTTTTTAGTATTATTATAAATTTGTTCTTATTAATTGATGTAGTATTTAATTCTATGTAACAATGGAAAGACAGTTTCTAGTGGTCAACATTAAAGACTTTATGTTTGACAGGTTGTGGCTATGGCATGTATTACCTTAGCCTCCAAAATAGAAGAAGCTCCACGAAGAATTCGTGATATAATAAATGTGTTTCACCATATTAAACAACTCCGAACCGGAAAGTAAGTATAGTTATCTTGCTCTGAGTGTAAGTTACTGGTTTGAAATTGTTATTGTTGTAGGGTTTTTTTTAGTCAATAATATCTTTGTAAACAGGTAAAGTGAAAAAATCAAAAATCTCTTTCATTGTGTCTTATACTTGAATTGTGTGTATGACCTTGAACACACTTAAATTCAGAAGCCATCTTAACAAATCAGATTTGGTGGATATGAAGTTTTGGATACACAGGAATTAATTGAGCAAGAATATTTGGGAAGTATTACAACAAGAACCTCATGTTTACAGATCATGGTAAGTGAAAATCACATATTAAAAACATTTCACTTTGTGAAAACAACCATGACGAGATGTATTAAAAAGTAGGGTGTAGTTAAGTTATAATATAGATATTATGTTTCTATCATCACTGTTTCCTTTATGTAAAGAACACTAGAATGTTGATATTTTGTAGATGTCGGCAGAATAACGTTCAGTAACCATGAGATAATTCTTTAATGTATTTGTATAAAACAGTAGAGAAATTTTTGGTTGTGTGCTTTTATGCTTAATTACACCATTTTTAGCTGGGGCGTACTGATTTTAGTGTTTTCACTTCAATCAGTTTACAGTATACACCAATCTAGAAGTACATTTAGAAGGTCTAGCTTGTAATAATGAATTATTGAGAAAAATATGTATATATAAAAAAAGGCTTAAAAAGTACTAAAGGTGTGATTAAAGCACATAAATTTCTACTTGCTGACAATACAAGCTTTAAAAGTAGTGTTAATAGTTTTAGTTGTATGTCTTCTAGAAGTCTACAGAACCAATGATGGATTATTTATAAACCTTGTAACTTCTTGGGTTTCTTTAGCAAATATGTTGTACGATTGGATATGGTTAGTGGGAAATATATTTGTTTTCATTACAAACAGCTGGTTGCACAGTTACTGATTCATCTTGTGTATTATGAGACCTGAATTTTGTATCCAATTTGAGTGTGTTACCACAGATTGTAACTTAATGGGCATCTTCATCATGTGTTTAACGAAACTTACCACTGAATATCGCAATTCATTGATTGTGTTACAAAACAATCATAACTTCATCTATGAAAGTTGAATTATGCTGTAAACATTTTGATTCTGTAATTCGTGTAAGTAGCAATTACGGTTTTAGAGCAGTGGTGACTTGTGTTTTCTCTTCATGTGACCTGTAGCTTACCCTTCAGCAGTGGACTCAGGCAGCCTCCAGCAGTACTCCTCTCAATCTGGGGCTGACTTGTGTGCTCCACTGGCCATGGGTGACCAGCAAGGCATGGTTTGTATGAACTAGTCTTCATCTCCAACCTTCAGTCTTCCACAGAGATACTTCCAGCTTGCCAGCAAGAAATGAGACACTTTCTGTATCTTTGACTCTTATAAAGAATGGTTGACTAAAAAGAATGGTTTTCTTCAACCAGGTAACTTGGGTAACTGTTTTGTAAAAGGGTCATCAACGGCAATAGACGTAAACATACAGCTTTTGCCTAAAGCTTAACAGGTTTATTTTGTAGTTTTGCATCAAATGAACAATTGATAATTTTTACTTTCATTTGTTTCATTGTATTTCTTGACTTCAGGGCCTGGTCCCAAAACTGCTAATGTTTCTGAAAGCAAAATTGGTTATGAAACTTGGCATAACTGAAATTGTTATAATGTAATAAGCTGACACTATAATTCATGAATATCTTTATACACTTTCCATTGCTAGTAATGCATTAATATTTTTGGTTTTGAAATTTATATTTGTGAAAGTCATCTAATTGAAGGAATGCTGTGTGCCTTACGTAACAGATAATGATTATATATATGTATTTAGTCAGTGGAAATTCCAAACACACTGATATTTGAGATACATAGAATAGTATAAAACTTAAAATAACACAAAATTTAGTTTTAACAGAATGGATGATTTTCATACTTAAGACTTTAAAACTTTAATCTGGCTCTTAATGACAGATGTTATCGAGATTGATACCATCTTATTAGCTCTGCTAGTCTTACTTTGGGCCAATCACCTTTAATTAATCCAATTTGTATTAAAGTTAGACAAATGATTAGTCATGTTTAATGTTTGACGAAACTGTGAGCTGATACTCCTTCACAAGTCTTTCCGTTTGGCCAATACTCAGTTCAGTATTTGCTGCATATGAAAAATTAACTTTTTTTTTTAAGCCGTGAAATAGATTCAACCGGTATTGTTAGCACCTTTATTACTGATTTGAATAAGTCTTTCTTTTTCGGCCAGTGATCTCTAACTCATAGTATTTGTTAAAATTATGAATTATTTCAATTAATATTTTACACAACTGTAAACTGTATTCAGGCACTAGTGTAAGGTAGAAGTGATGAAATACCACCTTATTAAGTCAGTCCTAATGCTACTTGAACAAGTCAGCTTTACCTTACTGCAAATTATAATACTAATTAAACTTTGTTCAGACTTGTTTGAGCAAAGTTAGCCAGTGGATATTGAACGAGAAAAATATTGAGATTAAGAGTTTATATTTCAGTAAGTTTAACGATTATAATTTTTTCCTACACCTATCTTTTTTTAAAAGCTACCCTTGAAACTGGGGATAGACAGACACAATGACTTCTGAAGAAGCCATTCTATCTGTCATGAGAAATAGTTGAGATGATTTCCCTGTTGTCATATTCTGTATGTACAGTAAAAAAAAGTGAATATATTGTTGCACAAATGGGATGTAAACCAAAAACCCTGTCAAGCTAAGCTTTATACGAATATGACAGATAACTTACAAAACACTCGTTATAAGCTAATGACTGCTGTTTTTGGTGTTGACCACCCACTTGCACATCATTAGTAAATTTGGAATAATAAAACTAACTATGTTTCAACAATTGTTACCTAAAAGTATTTAGGATAGATAATTAGTCAGTATTCAACATTTATTTAGTGTTATTCGTAAAGAGAAATGATGAAAAAAAATGTTTCAGAACTGTCATTTCTAGATGGTTTTTAACTCTTTCTGTACGGGTTCAGTCAAGATGACCAACCTTCTAACTACAAAGTAACCATCCAAGTTTTCATGCTATAACTTTTAATATGTTTTGTGTATCTTCACAAAATTTGGCAAGTCTTTTGTACATGAAAAATGAGATTTTTGAAGTATTTTTACTAAATATTTGTTCATGAATATATGGAGTCAGAGTGCTAACTGCTTTGAGTGCAAAGTGATTTTCATGTTAGGATTAATAAAACTTTTCACCTGAAATTTTTCAGATTTCATTTGTATAACCTCTAAAACCTCTTAAATGAATATCAAACATTTGTTTTCAGTAAAACTGTGTATCTTATCTGATATTTTCTCTACCCTAATTCTGTATTGACTAGTTTATTGGACTGATCATGAAAAAATATGAAATAATCTAATTTACCCTCTTTTCTTTCTAAAATAACTGCAGATAGAAACCGAAAATTACAGTTGTTTATCCTAAATAGCTTAAACAGTCAACACCTCTTTATACTTAATTTTATTGCCCTTTAAACCATGTCTAACTAATAATCCCACCACACAAGTTGTAAATCATTTGGTGAATGGGTAGCTTACTGTACTGAATGACGTAATGCACAAGCTGCTTTTTTGAAAAATATAATTATTTGTATCATGTAACTTGCATAAATTTCCTTTTCTCTTGGTGGGTTTATTACATCGCATGGTACACACAATTATTGATGAAGCTTCTTTTTTTTTTTTTTTAAATATCTTGAACTAACAACTAAATATAATCCACTTATATCAATGAAAAGTAAATAAAATAGTTTGAGCAGCAAATTATGGTTTCTTAAGGTATTGGTTACTGGGAGCTCCTGTAACATTAACCAAAGAAATAAACCAAATATTTGGGTATTTCTTTACACTTTATTTAGCTGTTTGTTTGAATGTCTTATTACAAGACACCAGGTAGGCTTAGTTAAGGATAGTGAGTACAGCAGGTGGCAGAAAAATATTCTCATGATTCATATCCTTATTTATTTATTTTTTGGTATTATTATGCTTATCTTTTTAAAAAATACACGTGTATAAAACAAGTTATTTATTAAAAAAGAGAGACTACACTTATTTGTTAGCAAAAATCATTACACGTTGTGTAACAAAGGTAGTGGTGATACCATTGTGAAAGGTGAGATCCTGTGTTATTGATAAACCACTATTAGTTTTTACCATGTTTGTGGTCAGCAAAATAAAGTATTAAAAGTAATATATTAATGAATGTTAAATAAGTTGGAACTGACCGGATGTATTAAACTTTCCTAAAACAATAAAGTGACTTCTACGGTAAAAATAAAACTTGGAAACTTCATAAACTAAAAAATCTTGGGAACCTATAATAAACTTACATGAGTGTTGTTAAAGCCAAAACTAGATGATATTTAGAAAATATGTATTATGTTTCATGCAGTTTGGGAAATATCAGGAACATTCCTTCAGTTATTCATCAACTCTGATCAGCTTAGCTAATACATAAGTGATGATATGCATTGCTGTAGTTTATTAAAAAAGATTTAGCACTTGGTTGCTTAATCAACTGTTGGTATATGTGTAGTACTGTCTTATGTTGATTTACGTTCCATTATCAGTTAACTGAATTTTGAAGAAATATCACCCAGCATAGAAAAACAAAGCTAAAGAAATCCTAAACACTTGATATAGTTAAGTGTAAGTATAGCTGTGTAAAAAAAATAAATAAACACCAAATTGTTTCTTATTTTTTCAAGGGAATGTTGCTGCATTTTAGTTATTGGTTAAATTATTTTTTCTCATACAATATCTTACCTCTTACCAATATCTTACCAATAGCTTTTCTCGATTAGTACTGCTCTCTATCAGTGCAAAATTTCCACATGCAAATGGTTATGCGGCAGCTCTCCACCAATAGGAGTGCGACGTGATTAACGAGTGTAAATGTGGAGAGGGTGCTGGTTACGATGGGGGTTGTGTCACACTCCTGTTGGTGGAAAGCTGCTGTATAATCATTTACAGGTGTACATTGGCTAATAGTGAGCACTGAAAATTTGCGCTGACAGCAGAGGGCAGTACTAATTGAGAAAAGGGAGCGGAAGTAAGTATCTTTTGGAAATACATTTTCAGTTTAGGAAATCACGGTAAACGGAGTGAGGTATTAAACTTAAAATATTACATCAAGAGTTGAACATTTATGGAAAGCCTATTAGCTGAAATAAGCCTGTCGTATTTGAAATTTAAAATTTTTATTGCTAACTGAGATTTGGAACTGTGTTTTAATGATGGTATTTTCATTCTTGTACTAATCATATTTTTTATTGCCATCAGAGATAAACCTTTTCCAAAGAAACTACTGTACGCTTGTTCAAATTAAAATTTTTAATTAAACTGTTAATTTGGAAATCACCAAATTTCTATATTTCATATTGTCAGGTTAAACAGATATAATTCATTGATAGTTTTGTTTATAAACTTACCATTTATTAATTTATATGACAAGTTTCTGTAATAATGAATGTAATTCTGGAACTTTTTAACTATAGTAATTAATATACACTTGTCTTCAAGGTAATCGGCAAAGAAGGCATTTATGACAATATTAAAACCATTAATTTGATCAACTCTCTACGGGTTAATGGGATTGTTGGATACACAGCTTCCTGTTTTGTTTTAGAATGTCTTGAAAAGCTGATGTATGGCATATTAACCAAGTTCTGACAACTGATAGTATTATAGGTCAGGAAGTAACACAGTGTGTCAGTATTTCATCTTTGTTGGAAATAAAGAAGTCACATTATTTTGCATCTTAACTCAGAATGGAATTTTTGTAATTTTTTTATCTGAAGTCGTAGGTGTTGGCAGTAATCACTTACAACACCAGACTGTTTTATCTTCCCTGTCTTCACAATTAAAGGAAATCTTTAATTTTAGGCATGCTAAGACAAGATCAGCAGTATAGAAGAAGAAGAACCAACTAGATCTTTCTTCTATCCAACCGTTTAGCCTTACAAACTCAACTTTGATCAGTACTTTTAACCATTTCATGACTGATAGAGTATATACTGGTATTTGTTGTTTATGCAGGGAAAATCCTTAACCGAATTGTACAAAATTTAATTTTAGCCTTTTAAATAGTGGCTAGTTTATACAGTTTCAGGCAGATCTGCATTTTAAACATACATTAATTCAAGTATTCACTCAAATTTTTAACCATTTATATGCTGTATGCATGAATTATATACCCAGTGGACCACTGTTTAGTTTTCCATTGTTGCATCATGGGTAATATGGCCACCTGCATTTCTGCTGATCATAGAAAGCTCAGAATAGTGGGTGAAAAGCTGGCCATCCATTGCAAAAAATGTTTTGTATCGTAACTTACAAGGTGATTTAAAGCCAGCATGAGACATTTCAAATCACCTTTAGTTCTGTGATGAAAAGTGGATACTTCTGTTGCTGGGGAACTCCCCAATTATTTTAACCAAAGTACATAAACTAAGAAAGAAGACACAGAAATAATGATTGCTTTTTTTTCCTGAAAGGTGAACTATTTTAAGGTAATGTAACATGTCATGAATGTTGTAGTAAAACATCTATTATGAAATGAACTAGGCTTATATTTTTGGGGTAGTTTAATGTAGTAGTGTTAA